CCTGGCCGTCCAGTCTTTCTGGATTTTGGTGAAAGCGGCGGTAAGCACCCAATATAGTTTACCTTGCCCCTCATTTAGCTCCTCATCTTTCCAAGGCTCTGTCATGCTTCGCTCTAACTCTTTGCGAATGATTCGCAGCCTTGGGCTTTTGGACGAAGTGTTGGAAAATAGTTCTCCCAATTACGTCACTCACTTTCAGAAGATTGATGGAAGCGCAGCGATTGTTCACCAAACTTTTGAAGAGGCTGCACGCATTGAGACTGAAAAGGATCTTGCTGCGCCCCGACAGATTATGCGCTCAAAGGTGCGTCGTCTTCCTTCAGAGCTGTTCCAACAAGCGAAAACCAGTTGCACAGTATTTTTGTTATTGCTGCTCAAAAAGCAGGAGTCAAAATGTTTGTGAACAGGAAAGTCATCAAGGTCGAGCAAACTGCAAATTCTGTCTCTGTTCGTTTCCAAAATGGTGGCGGAGCGACTGCTGATCTGCTCGTTGGTTCCGATGGGATCCATTCTGCAGTTCGTCGTCAAATATTTGGTGAAGACTCTCTGGCAAAGTTCACTGGACAAGTCGGTTACATCGCTGTCGTCAATTTGTTGGAAACCGGTATCAAATTGGACCAAACATGCGCCTTTTTCATCGACCGCATGAAAAAGCGCCTTGTGTGCACGTTCAAAGTCTCAGAGAAGTTTGCGGCCGTCCAAGTCATGACATATACGGACCCGGATCCCGAAGAAGATGCCAACTATCGTCCGTATTCAGATCTCCCCAAGCACTCAACTCGACTAGCAGATTTGATTGCGCGATGGGGTGTTCCGGAAAACGTGGTCGAGATGATGCGGAAAGCTTTCCGCATTTCGCCGGCAAGCTTGTACGATCTGCCGGATCTGGCATCTTATCACAAGGGTCGTGTTGTGCTTGTCGGTGACTCTGCCCACGGTATGCTCCCTAATGCTGGGCTTGGTCTTGGCGCCGGTCTGGAGGATGTCGGTGTGCTTGACGAGCTACTGAGGCTGTTTCCTGACACTGAAAACGTCAACAACGTGTTGGCGATGTATTCGCGGCTTCGCGTCCCGATGGGAACAATGTATTCTAACAACAGCCGCCAGATGGCAGACGTTTTCTACATGTCGAGTCTTGGATCTTCGGGATCACATTTTCTGCTGCGAATGTTTGTGTGGGCGCTCAACAAAAACCTTTACCAACCCGTGAAGGAAGTGTACGACAGCAAGAAGGCAGTTCAGATACTTCTGAATGGGGAAAAAAACTCAATGGAAAGGCAGGAAACGCCGTTGGAGAAAAAGTAATTGAATAGAAATAGTCTGTTATGAGTGTACCACGCCACAAGCATCGGTAAGGCGATACGAGACGGAAACCTTGAAAAAGCGCCTCACGCGGTACCGACGCAGCAGACGTCCGTTAATACGGCGCGGGCTACTATATCAAGATAGCTAGTCATGGTCAAGGCATCGATGACTGTGGGAATGAAAAATCATGTCGTCCAAACTGTCGCCACCAACGACGCCTAAGAAGACCCCAACTGCCGCGGGCGGCCCCATTCCAGTGCGACGATCTGCCAGCAAAAACGCTGCTTTGGCGCCCCCTGCGGTGACCACCGCTTCAGCCCGCCGCGTGTCTGCGCCAACTGCTGGCACTCCGCTGGCTACTCGATCGAAGAGTTCTGCGGCCGCGAAGCGCAAGACAGAGCCACCTGCCGATAAGGATGCACTCATATCGGCTCTGAAGGATCAAGTTGCGGCATTGGAATCCAAGTTGAATGCTGATCCTGAATCTGCTCCTGCTCCTGTGACTCCGGCAAATGTGGCCTCCCTTATTTTCTGCCTGTCTTGCATCTGATCATAATCATTCCAGTCACTCGCCGTTCAGATCGCGGAACTACAATTGAAGATCAAAACGCAGGATCTTCTGATCCACAAATTGGAAGCCAAAGTGACTGCCTTTGTATCAAAAAATTCAGCAGTTGCATTTCTTACTCAGGAGAAGGAAGCTAATGAAGCGCGGTTGGAAATGATCATCAAAGACAAGGACGAAACGATCGAAACGATGCGAAAGCAAATCGAAATGCAGGTTTTTACTAGATTGGTTGTTCGTGTTGCGATTTAACCAATCTACCTCAGGTGTCTGGGCTTTTTGCTGAAGTTACTAAGTCGCGCGATCTCTTAGTGCAACAGAATGAGGCTCATGAAGCTGAGATCGAGAGACTGAATGCCACTATTTTGTCGCAAGCGACTGAATTGAGCAATTTAAGAGAAAGCATGAAACAGGAGTGATCTTCCATGACTTCCTACTCTAATTGGTAACTTGGATGATCTGAATCTGAGTCGGCTGTTTTGTTGTTTTTTTTTTTTTTTTTTTTTTTTTTTCTGCCGGAAGCTTACGCGATGTCGTTCGACAGGTATCGCAAAGAGCGCCCAAAAATTCAAATGCAGTTTGCAGATCTTAAGCGAGGACTGCAATCGATTTCGGCCGAAGAGTGGGCAGCTCTTCCTGAGGTTGGGGATCTTGTGCGAAGGAAAGGGGACAAAAACAGTCGCTTCAAAGACCGTTTTACAGCCGCGCCATCTATTGTCACTGTTGGTGCAGGATTCGGTGCGTCAGTAGATGCGGCTTCGGGTTATGCGACCTCAATCGATCCGCGAATGACTGGCAGCCTTTCCACAATAGATCCGTCAAATGCAAATTCGGGAACTATCACCGATCTTGTCCAGTTCGGACAAGGGCGAAACAAAGTTTTGGGCCTGAAACTAGACCAAATGTCTGATTCCGTGTCTGGAAAGAGTACTGTCGATCCAAAAGGATATTTGACGGATTTGAACAGTGTCATCACTAAAACAGATGCCGAAATCAGTGACATAAAAAAAGCAAGACAGCTTTTGCGCTCGGTCATCACAACGAACCCCAAGCACGCTCCCGGATGGATTGCGGCTGCGCGCTTGGAAGAGGTGGCTCAAAAAATAGTAGCTGCGCGCGAACTTGCCGCCAAAGGATGTGAGGAATGCCCGAAGTCTGAAGACGTTTGGCTTGAATCTGCTCGTCTCAACAGTACTGAAAACGCAAAAATTATACTCGCCACTGCCGTCAGACAAATACCAACGTCCGTTAAAATCTGGCTGCGGGCAGCAGCGCTTGAGACGGATTCAAAAGCGAAAAAAAGGGTTTTGCGTCGCGCACTCGAGTTCATTCCAAACTCTGTGAAAATTTGGAAGGCGGCTGTGAGTCTCGAAGAAGATCAAGAGGATGCGAGAATTCTTTTGAGCCGCGCAGTCGAATGCGTTCCACTGTCAACTGAGCTTTGGCTAGCTCTTGCGCGCTTGGAAACATACGAGAATGCTAAAAAGGTTCTGAACAAAGCAAGAGAATCTATTCCGACGTCGCATGAGATTTGGATCACTGCAGCAAAACTTGAAGAACAACAGGGACAGATTCCAGAACGTGTAGATATTTTGATTAAGAACGCGGTTAAAGTTCTTTCTGCTAAAGGATCAACAATTGACCGCGAGGCATGGCTTAAAGAAGCAGAAGCTTGCGAAGGTGAAGGTTTTGTGGTGACCGCGCAAGCAATAGTGAAAGCAACCATTGGAATGGATGTTGATGATGACGATCGTCTTACCACGTGGTTGGAAGATGCAGAAAGTAGCGTGTCACGGGGCTGTGTCGCTACTGCTCGGGCGATTTTCGCTCATACATTGTCCATGTTTCCTCAGGAGGCATCTGTGTGGAGAAAAGCAGCAAGCCTCGAGAAGAGCCACGGAACGTCCGCGTCGTTAGAAGAAATTCTTCAGCGTGCTGTTAGATATTGCCCTCAGGCTGAGGTTTTGTGGCTAATGGGGGCAAAGGAAAAGTGGCTGTCGGGAGATTTAATGGGTGCAAAAGGCATTCTTGAAGCAGCATTTGAAGCAAATCCGAATAGCGAACAAATTTGGCTCGCTGCGATTAAATTGGAAGTCGAAACCCACGAATACGTCCGTGCGCAATTGCTATTGCAAAAAGCGAGAACAAAGGCAGATACTGACCGTGTTTGGATGAAAAGTGTCATGCTTGAAAGGCAACTGGGAAACTTTGACAAGGCAATTGAGCTTGTGAACCAAGCACTGGCGAAATTTCCAACATTCGGGAAGTTGTGGCTAATTAAATCTCAAATTGAAGAAAGTCAAGGAAACATAGTCGGAGCTCGGGAAACTCTGGCAAAGGCGGTAAAGGCAGTCCCAAGGTCTTCATCGTTGAACGTGACAATTTGGATATCGACGGCACGTTTGGAAGAGCGCGCTGGTCAGCTTATAAAGGCTCGAGCAGTTCTCGAAAAAGCACGTTTACTGAATCCAAAGGAACCCGAAGTGTGGCTTGAGGCCATTCGGATCGAAAGCCGAGCAGGGAACAAAGCCGTTTCTGATGCCCTTATTTCTAAAGCACTTCAAGAATGCCCCACATCTGGATTATTGTGGGCAGAAGCGATTCTCTCAGAATCTCGTCCACAGCGGAAGGCAAGATCCAAAGATGCCCTGTTGAAGTGCGAAAACGACCCCGCCGTTTTGGTAACAGTTGCACGATTATTTTGGAGCGAAGGAAAATCTGACAAGGCTCGAAATTGGTTCGCTCGTGCTGTTAAAGTGAATCCTGACCTTGGAGATTCCTGGGCTTGGTGGTTGAAGTTTGAAAGTGTGCAAGAGGGCGACAATTCGAAATCTATTCAAGAGGTCGTCGATAAATGCATCGCAGCTGAACCGCACCATGGCGAGAAATGGCAGTTATTCTCTAAGGACATGAAGAATATAGGCAAAAGCACTGAGCAAATTTTGAAATTGGTTGCGGCAACTCTTCCTAGCACGGTTTAATAAAGACCTTGGGGTCATTTTGAAATTATCCAAGATTTGAATGATTTACATTTACTGACAACTGTTTTGTTTCGTTGCCAACAGTCACCGTCGTAATAATTTATTGTAACTGTAAAATTGCTCTAATCACCATTGTGAGAAAAAAGGTACGACAACGGCAGGGTTTGAACCTGCGCTCCCAGAGGGAAACGGATTTCAAGTCCGTCGCCTTAACCACTCGGCCACGTTGTCTGATTTTTTGTTACGGAAGAGCCTCAGGACTCTTCTCACTCAGAAAATTAACTTCAAAGATTATTGTCAGAAAATGACGCCATCG